GCCTCTTTCGAAGACAACCATCGTACCAACCATCGTTGCCTCTGTTGAGGACAACCATCGGTACAACCATCGGTTGCCTCACTTGGAGGACAACCATCGGTTGCCTCTGTCGAGGACAACCATCGTACCAGCCATCTGTTGCCTCTGTTGAGGACAACCATCGGTACAACCATCGTTGCCTCTGTTGAGGACAACCATCGTACAACCATCGGTCGCCTCTGTTGAGTACAACCATCGGTTGCCTCTGTCGAAGACAACCATCGTACCAACCATCGTTGCCTCTGTTGAGGACAATCATCGGTACAACCATCGGTTGCCTCACTTGGAGGACAACCATCGGTTGCCTCTGATGAGGACAACCATCGGTTGCCTCACTTGGAGGACAACTATCGGTTGCCTCTGTCGAGGACAACCAAATTAAAGAGCCAATGTTGTTTTCTCTTCTTGAGGAATATAACTTCGGTTTTTTTTTTGACCGAAGTGTATGTGATGCCGGGCGGAGCCGGGTATGCCAGCTAGTTGCCAATAAAACAGAAGCCAAAGCCAGTACCATTGGCAACTCGAGTGGAGTTCAGGCGCATTTGAATAATTTGAATGATCTGCAGACACGAAAGTTACTCGAGCAAAGCAGATCAAGCTGGGCTTCGGCTATCGTGCTGGTGCGAAAGAAAGATGGATCATTAAGGTAATGTGTGCAATATCGGAAAGTGAGTAAAGTCACTAGAGCGGTTACCCCACTTTCCATCGTCTCGATTCTGCAGAGTCTAGAAGGTAAAGCCGTCTTTTCGATCCTTACTTCGGGATATTGGCAGATAAGACTGTTGGAAAATAAGAAACAGAAATCTGCCTTTGTTATCACCGAAGGCCTTTTCCAGCTTCGATTGCTATCGTTCAGGCTATCAGCTTCTCTCCCACTATTCCAGCGACTAATGCACAACATACTAGGCGCGTTATTAAAGGAGAAGAGGTATTTTGTTATCTCGACACGTCATAATCGCAGATTCGGCCGACAGACATGTTCACGTGCTCGAAGAGGTCTTTGAAAAGTTGAAAACCGTTGGGTTTAGGCTAAATCCACGAAAGTGCATTCTTTTCGAAAGAGAATTTCTTGGTCATGTGATCGGCCCAAGACGGCCTGAACATGGACCCGGCCAAGATGGACGCTATACGGAAGTAGTCTTTACCGAAGTCGCGGTCTAATCTCCCAACGTTTCTGGTGATGTATTCCTACTTTGGGAAGTTTGTGCGAAAATTTGCAAAGATAGCAGATCCTCTGCAGGAACCAACTCCAGAGAAGAAAAAGTTCGAGTGGACGGCAGAAAGAAAATTGAACTTCGAACATCTGAAAAAAGTGATCATCGAAGCCGGTGCTTGCGCAGTGGATACTGAGGGCGTAAGGAAAGGGAAACTTTCAACATTCATACTGATGCGAGTACCCAAGGCCTAGGGGCAGTGCACAGCCAGGAAGGTGAAGATGGTCTGCTGCTTCCGATCTTCTTCGCATCTACAGCCTATCCAGCTGCGAAAAAGGTACCATGTAGCGGATCTGCAGGCCTTGGCATTGCTATTCGCTTTACGGAAGTTTCACATGTTTGTCTCTGGGCTTCCCTTACAAGCGCTCAAAGATCACCAAGCCCTCACAGCAATTATCAAGCATCGTCTCAGACTGAGTCCTTCGGCGGGCATCAAAGCTGCAGAAGTACGATCTGAAGATTGTCTACCGGAAGCGGGCTGCGATTCGAGTAGCGGATGCATTAAGCCGTAGGGCAACGAGCGAGAAAAAGTGCTGTCCGAAAGTTGACGATACAACGCCAGAGAAACTTGTGCATCCGCACTTGAGGAGGCTTAAAGGACAAAAGAATTCCGCAAGTGCCACTCTACCGGAGAGTTATAGAAAGCCTGAGGATAAGCGAGGTAAACGGTAAGGTGGAGTTCTCTCATCACTTAGGTACAGAGTGGCCGATTTTATCTTGAGCGAAAAGTATCTCATGACGTTGGTGGATAGAGACCACCTACGGAAGGTGGTGCCACCGGGTCAAAGGAAGAAGCTCTTTGACGACGCGCATTGCGGTTAGCAGGACATTTCGGAGCCAAGAGGATATGGCGGGGGCTATCTAAGAGATTCTTCTGGGAATCTATGAGAAGGGACATTTGGCAATGGGCTAAGGAGTGTCGCGAATACTTGTGCCACAACTCCCAGCGAGCTGGTGCCACCGTTGAGACCAATCGTTACCACTAAGCCTTTGAGGTAGTTGGTATGGACATACTGGAGATAGTCTTACTACAGAGGGGGATCGGTATATCTTATCTGTAGTGGATCACTTCTCAAAACTCGGCGAAGCTCTTGGTTCCTTCCAAGTCTACGTCTATCGTAGCTCGTATGTTCTTTGAGAGGTAAGTGGCGATCCGAGTCCCCTCGGATCAAGGAGGGAAGTTGAGAAAAAAGCTGATGGAAGAGTTACGCAAGCCGTTGGGATGCGAATAGATCTTCACCAAAGGTACAAAACGAAGAAAATGGCATTACTGGAAGGTTCGATGAGACTATGATGGCGATGATGAGGAAGAAGACCTTAGTAGCGGTGGAATGGGGCAGGATTACTCGCATGCGTTTTTGCGTACAACATCGCAGTACACGAGTCAACGGGAAAATCACCCGTTGACTGCCGCCAACGACAAAAACAAGCCATAATGCTACGGTTTGCCAGTTAAGTACTCCTTTTCTTGCAATTTTACTTTAGCACAAACCGTTTTGGAAAACGTTTCAGAGGAAGGATCCAACTTAGGAGTTGCGAGTTAGACGGCCTGTGGATGACTCCGCGATCAGTCTTACATTTTCTAATCGCCTTTTGTACTTTCCTTATAGGTAGTCAAAATTCCACAAAGTATTCAAGATACCGTTTGATTTGATTTATTGTTACTACTCATTAGTTCCAATTATCCTGTTAGTATCTTTGTCACTTATTCATGTTTGTGGTTTATGCATATATTTCATAAAAGTAAAGGTTTGATTAACAAAGTTTGAGGTGTGTATGTGCATGGTCGAAGCCCTGCCTGGCAGTTGATTCTGTGTTACCGTCGAGTGGTATTAGAAGATTATAGTCCCGACTGTATCTCGTTCTACATTCATTATATCTCCTTCTTATTACAGGCTTTAATGCACACGTCCCTAAGGACCTGGACGTGGAAGCTGTCAACATAGATAACTATGCGCAAGAGGTAGCTGTAGGCATCCGGATAGCATGAGAATATGCCCGCAGGGTTGACAATAAAATGCGAGATCGCATACAGGCCGGTATAACCGGGAAAAGGAGTGAAGGACTGTTCCATTTCTCCGAGGGTAGGCGATCGCGTCTGATATGAGGATTCCGAGCGAAAAGCAGTCCTCACGCAGCCCAAATGGAACTCTTGGGAGGACCCTTATCGAGTTCTGGAGAACAGCCAGAATCGCCTTAGTTACACTGATCTCAAGATAAGGAACCAGTGGGGTACCCTTTGACTTTCTTAAGAAGCTGCCCCGAGGTATCTCCGACGAGCCATTGCTAAAAAAGCAAGGGTAAAAAAGGGCGCTTCAAAAAATAAAACGTCACTGGTTCAGTGTAATAAAGTCTCTATTTCCAGGATTCTCGTGGCCGTAGACGAACGCCTGAACCTGAGATTCCGCCGCGGTTGTGGACTAATTAGCAAATGGCGCATGTGGCAATACCAGGATTAAAGCACCCACCAGTAAAAGCGAAAAAAGTGGATGACATGTTTCAATTATCCAACGTTGCAGTATCTCTGAGCAAGAATGTTGGACGGATGAGAGAAAAAAGCTGGAGCTTCGCAGAAAGCATTCACAATATCTTTCACCTTATGGGCTAGCTGTGGCTATGGACGCACACTGAAGACATTGCTCACTATACGCCAAAGGATTGGAAGAGGCAAAAGGAACTAAATAAAATCACCCCGCAATCTACCCTTGGCCATGCGAATACCCTATTCTGGCTGAGGCCGTCATGATGCTGGACCAGATTGAGGCGCCATTTCTGAGCAACAACAACACGGGCCGCAATATCTTCTGGTGAACATCAGAGAATCGTACAAAAGCTGGAAAAGCAGCTTGTTCAGCTTCTTGCTACTGTTTGATATGTTCATACTAAAGGATGGCGGGAATTTACGGATAGGTGAACAGCCTGAAATCCAAACACCTGGAGCTTTTGGATATGAAGCTTTCTTCCAAGCAGCGATCTTATTTCCGATGGGGATGTTAATGCATGCGGCCCTCAAATGTAACAGCTTTGGTCCAGCTACCCGAGTTCAAGAAACATTTTGAGAGTCAAATGGAAAATTTAAACTGTACAGAATAATATGGACATTCTTCATCACCGAAACATAGCTGAGGAAGAAGCAGATAATGAGGTCATCGATAAACCCCAACTTTCGGCTTGCTGTACATCGTAATATTCATGGTTTCATACATCATTTGTTCTTGTTAGAAACATGCTCAGCACTGTTGGGTTGAACATCAATACAACTTTGAAATTTTTTTTACTAACTTCGAAAAAACGGCCTAGAAATTATAATAAGGCCCGAATGCACTAACATCCCTGCGGCGAGGGGAGCGACGTCCCCAATGATGTAAAAGTCGTAGCGGCGTCCGCACGCGACCCTTTCATAATGGGGGATGCCGCTCCCCTCGCCGCAGGGATGTTAGTGCATACGGCCCTAAGAGACGGTCAGCCCCCGGGGTTCATCGGAGGGTCATATGAAAATCAAAATGCGGCTCTTACATTTTCTCCCTCCTGTTCAACATGGTAGTAAAGTGTAGTATAAACACATGTGAATAGGCAGATCGCGTGAAATCTAGAACGCAGCTTTAGGTGTAGCATACCCTCTAGACGCGTTTCCCTCCCTAGTGCAAATATTACATGCTTTTCTGTAGCGCAATCACACACGAAATGTTTTATGTCAACAAAAATATTTTTTTTTAGCAAAGTTCAAGATGTTTTATAACAAAGCACCTGCACGCGACTTGGTAACTTTTAGTCGTCTCACATAGTCCTCGAATTCAGTGCCAACGATTTGACATTTTGTCGTTATCTGAATCATTTACTATACTATACGGATGCCTACTTATGCGGTCATAGAGATCGTGCTAAAAACTAAATTCGAATATCAATGCGCAGTGAATGACTTCATACAAAACTACTCGCTCAAACTATGTTCCATTGGACTGTAAGCTAATCAATTCTTCTTTCTAGATTGGCGACCAAACTACCAACATCCGTATATAACAGGTAGATTTTGGTGATGTCAGGAAACGAAGACTCATATCACCTTACTTACCATCTTTTGATGAGTTGCAAGAGTCAGATGTTTGAATACATCACCAGGCGTAAGAAATCGTATTAGGCAGAATTTGCAGACCGCCTGAAAATCATTCAATCATTATTGATCAAATATTTGATGCACACGTAAACCACGCACTCCATAAAGGTCTTGATTTTCTTGTGAAGCGTTTAGCTCAGTGAGATTCGCATCTTTGATGAGAGTGTCCAGTTTACGAAATTGTTCAGTAATCCAGGTCTCTAAAATAAAATTGCACTGCGTTCTCTACGCACAGATTTCTAAAAAATGCACACTGCTTTTTTACAGTAACTGCTTACGTTCTGTTACTTACATTTGATAGTGCTCAGACAAGCCTTAAAAAAATGCGAGAATCTGGCCAAAGGTATGAGATATGGGGTAAGAGTTAGCTAAACCTACAAGGCAAACTCACCCTCTCATGACAGCATCCACCCAAATTTTTAGCATGAAAAGCCAGAGTTCTTTTCATCCCTTTCCACTCCCCATCCTGATCCCGAAAACCCATGGATTTCGTTCCCAGCGCAAGAATGTCATGTCAAAGCGCCGAAATGCTCTGCATCCCCGACCTCGGCGCGCCTTCGCGCCTATTCAAGCTCAAAAAGAAATACTCGTGACATTCTCGCGCTTTCAAGGAGTGATTTTTGGGAGCAGCGTACAATTGGTCAAGTTTGAGGTGCACTCTCTTGACTTGAATTTTTCACCCGAGTTGTCCTGCTTAAAGGCAGCGCCCCATCAGACTGGGGGTACCTGGCTCTCGTAATGAAGTAATAGTAGACCCCCTACCTAAGCGATGACTGAAGTTCGAAGCGAAAAAGGGGGTCTACCAAGCCTGAAATTTGCTCCGAAAGTGGGCCGAATCTTACGGTAGGGCCGAACGCCGCCCACACGGCAATAATTTGCAGGGCCAGAGTGCGTATAGCGCACACATCATGAGCGCAGGGACCCGCAACCACTCTGCGTCTCTACCTTGGATGCACCTCGCACTCGCCCGATCCTACCGTAAGATTCGGCCTGCTTTCGGAGCAAATTTCAGGCTTTGTAGACCCCCTTTTTCGCTCCGAACTTCAGTCATCGCTTAGGTAGGGGGTCTACTATTACTTCATTACGAGAGCCAGGTACCCCCAGTCTGATGGGACACTGCCTTTAATATGAAACAACCATTTTATTGCAAAACCTTGATTCATATAGGGGCGGATGAGCACTAGACTTTCGTCTTGAGGATCATCCGAACCACCCCATGTGACGTCGCACATCGTGACTCACACCACTCACGACGGCAGTTTTATAAGGCTTATCAAACGCAGTGTCGCTTGCATCAGTATCTCCACTCTCTCGCTGGACACTGCATCTCTTCCGCCAACATGCTCTCTAATTACTTTCCCAGAGAGAGCGTGGGAAAGGCGGGCCTCAATCGATTGGAAGTGATTGATTAGAGAGCTTGTTCGCGGAAGAGACACAGAGTCTAGCGCTGGAGTGGAGATGCTGATGCAAGCGACACTGCGTTTGATGAGCCCTGTACCTGCACGCCGCATTGGAGCTCTTTATCCAGTGCAGCTTTCGGATGCTGTAGCGGCAAGACTGTGAAAGTACATGGCTCAACATCATGGAATTACGACAGTAGCACGGACGCAAACATACTTATACTGCTGCGTTGCGTTGCGAAGTTACTTCGCAGTAATGGTCAAAGGTCCGTTGACGCCGCTGACACCTTCAGATGTCACAGACATACAGTGGGTCTCGGCATTCGTGCGGAGATCGATAAGCAGACGTCCGCTTCACAGCGATTCACGCCTTCTCGCGGCTATAGTCAGGGCCCGGCACGAGGTGGGCAAATGACAAGCTGGAAATCGTCTTTGGTGGAAAAAAGCAAAGGAAAAATCGTTTTTGAGGGGTCGGGAGTGGAGCCCCGGAAGAAGATTCCAAGTCCAAGCAAAAGAAGATCGAATCATGCTCATTACCTTATACATCTAATTCACTGGGAAGTAGTTTTCATAAGCCTCAACGCACAGCAGAGTTCGCGCGCGCTAGGCCGCCCCTAATTGCCGCGTGTGCGACGTCGCATAAGCGATGCCGTTGAACAGCATGATTACATGATCAGTTCTCAATGCAGGCTAACGATATAGCACCAAATTACGTAAGCGAACAAAGAGAAGCTAGTAGAAACAAAGTATGAAATATTATGGAAAACTTATGTGAACGGGGGGAGTTATAAGATTTTTTCCAAAAATTTCGCAAAATTGGGAAATGAAGATGTGAATTCAAATGGCTCGTTTGCAGCGCACAGATGACCATACGGTATGGAACTTGGTAGGTACATGAACACAGGCCTGCAAGGCTTAACTTAGAAGTTTCATTGAAAAATTATGTGACTAAAGGTTGTGGCAAGCTTTTTTCTGAAAATTTCCCCCTTTCAAGAAAATGGAAAAATGGCTCGGTTGCAGCGCAGAGAAGACGAAATCGTGCGAGACTTGGTGTATATACGCGCAGTAGGACTAAGGAACAATGTATGAAAAAATATGAAAAACTTATGTGAATGAAGAGCGTGCTCAACTTTTTTCCAAATTAGGTGGGCAATTGCCCGCCTAATGCCCACCTGGGTGAGCAAAACTTTCAATTCACATAATTTTTTCAAAATTTTTACATAAATCTGTTGTACACCTAAAGTTTACTACATGGTGAAATTTTGGTTCCGAAACTCCTCCTCTTGTCCTTGTTAGAGCCCAAAATCGCATCAGCAGCCTAGCTTTCTAAGATGGAAAGCGCGCCCCAGTCAATCGATACGCGCGGGAACGGCGTCTCTCATTCCTATGACTGCGTTACATTGATATTTTCTCATTTCTTAATCATTTTTCTTGTTCTATCTTGATACAGCTGAGGAATAATTTGAGGAATTTGAGCCCTTCGGGCGCTTTTGAGCGCTTTTGGGCGAAGTGCGGCCGGTAATCTCGTTGCACAAGCACAAAGCGTCATTTTTGGGCTCAAGGGGGTATTCGTAAAATTTATTAGGATCAAAGGGGAATTCGTTTTGGAAAACCTCGTTTGCCCACCTCGTGCCGGGCCCTGGCTATAGTGCGCCCAATCGGGAGAAAGTCAAGAGGCGCGATTCCCCCACAGGTCACCAATTTAACAGCTCAGTCTAGAGCTAAGTACGTCTTTCAGAAATACCACACAAAGTGCTCGAGCTTAATGATTATCTGAAGCACTTAAGCTTGATTGCTTTTGGGTAAATCTGATTTACTCAACGCCATCAGTTGCATTTTCGCGGTTTTTAATCTCCAACACTCATGTTTTGGGTCCATTTCAGAATAATAAGATCAAGCAATCCATGAAAGAATCACACATGCTCCTAGAAGATCTAACTGCTCCCAAGGTATCAAATACTGAAAATGTGCCAATTTGTGTCCATTTGGCAATAACAATCGCGCCTCTTGACATACACCCGTGCAATCTTAAGGTGGCCATGTCTGCACCACTTCCCAGTATAGTTGGAACCGAATATTCGTATTCGAATAATTTATTCGAAATATTCGACTATTCGAATATTCGACTATTCGAATATTCGAGAAAGTCCATTTATTCGATTGTTCGAATAGTCGAATAATTTATAAAGGTCTTTATTCGAATATTCGTTCATTCGAGGAGTTTTAAAAAACGGTTATTCGAATATTCGTTCATTCGAGTAGTTTGAAAAGATAGTTATTCGAATATTCGAATATTCGAAAATTGCGTTCAAATATTCGAATAATATTCGAACATTTATTCGAAATTAGTCGAATATTCGATCAAGTTCGGTTATTCAAGTATTCGTTCATTCGAATTGTGGAATGTGCCAATATTCAAATATTCGAATTCGAATAAAATGAAAATCGAAAAACTCGAAAATCAAATATTCGATATTCATTCGTTCGAAAAAATTTCGAAAATCAATTATTCGATATTCATTCGTTCGAAAAATTTTCAAAAATTGATTATTCGATATTCGTTCATTCGGCGAAAATTTCTGTTCGTTACAACTATACTTCCCAGTACTTTAGGCTAATGCCGACACTGCTTGATTGCAGTTGACACGTTGCCTCCGCGGGGGGTTGTTTCGCCTATTTCGTGTTGACACGGACTATACAGGGCTTATCAACTGATGTCGGGTGTACCTGAATCTCCATTCCTGCGCGGCCATCTTGCTTGGACTCTGCATCTATTTCGCAAATACGCTCTTTTTCATTTTCACAATACGAGCGTGTGAAAGGCAGAGCTTCAATTGAGCGAATTGAGAGTGCGAAATTGATTAGAGAGCTGCTCGCGAATAAGGCAAAGAGTCCCTGCGAAGTGGCCACGTAGGAGCGGAAATGCTGGTGCACCCGACTGTCCAACTGATAGTCGTGTACTTACTCTCCTTCGTTGCCCATCGCCATGTTTTAGAATTAGTCGGAACTCCCTTTGATAATAACTATGAATGTTACTTATTCAATAACAAGTTTGATACGACTTGTCGTAAATTACTTACCTAAATCTACAACCTTCGTTATTGCAGAGTCATATTGTATGTTATATTCAGTATCTACTAGCTTGAAGCCGCCAGGTCACCCCTCCATTGTGCTTGATAGTCTACTTGGCGGCGCCTACTTTCATGTAGGCAATCCTTGATTGTGTATGATACTGTTATTTGCTAGAAGTCAGCATTCAGGTTATCCACGCCGAAAATAGGGCATAAAAGAGCCTGAATACTCAGTTCTGGTGTTGGTTCGATTAATACCACTAACGTTAGCGGCTGTTCAGCATATTCACTGCTAATAGTTCGCGGCTGCTCCGCTACTATCTAAAAACAGTTATATCCATAGTGGTACCAGCTTGGTGTATACCAAACGATCGCGGAGATTCATTCATGGAAGAAACCCATAGAGGGAGCTATACAAGATCGTTACAATGGATCCAAAAAAGGATTTCGATGTTGAAGCCACTGCAGAAAAAAACAAACAGGAGTCCAAGGAAAATACAAGTTTGACGATGGAGCTGACGCAAATAAGACACTATTTTAACAAAATTAATAAAAAGACGTCTTCCGCTTGAAACATCTAACTAAACTGAAAGGCAAATCGAAAAATTATTTGAAATCAACTTTTTAACTAATAACAGTACAAAGTGAGTTTTATCTGCTTTACATCTGCAAGAGTTAATTTTATTTATCGCCATCTTCCTTACAGGAGAGTTCCGAGAATGGCATAAAAACGAACACAACACTCCGTCCAAGGATAGAAACGAAACGGAATGTTTAAGTTATAATATTATATTTACAGTGTTGAATGTTATAGGGACTAGAGTATTTATTATATATGAAGATATAAAGAAAGGGAAAGGGGACTGCCGATCACCCGGTAAGGCACAGCTTATCTGGAGTTGTTGGGCACAGCCCAGTTGGCGTGAGGACTGTCGGGCCATCTAATTAGTCAGCATTTCGACAAATTCCAAGCAAGCGAAAAATCCGATCTGCATTTGCTGCGCCACTGCCTTCAAATGTGATTAGCATTTGAACTTCATCCGAAGAAATGAATGTCACTCTGAGAAAAAAAATTCATTTAGGTCCTATTTGCAAAGATTTCGCAATAATGTTTATGTAGAGAATAAATTCATTTTCCCCTAAAATTAGAAATGCTGATGCGATCTGAGTTCGTTCCCATATCGTTTCTCTTGCGACATGGTCAAGTGGTTTTAAGCGAATCTCCGAGCAAAAAGCGATAGTAATTCTCGTTTAACCGAACAAAAAGGCTAGTTCTAAATGAATATCGTCAGAATTAAGGGTTTGTGAACCAAAAGAAAAAAAATATTAGTGACAGAGTTTTCCATAGGTGAAAATGTTATAATTTTTGTCTTGATACGCTGATCATGAAGTTGTGTGGTAAATATGTCATGACTTTGATGGTGAAACGCTAATCTTGGATGTGTTTGCTACCTATATGATTTGCTGAAAAGAGTAACGAACGTGTTTTCCTTCAAAAAATGTATTTGCACAGTAGTAATAGCAGTGCTCGGCGTGAGGTTGCTTATTCAATTTTTGAGAGCGAAGTCCCCGTAGACTTCGCTACAAAAGTACGACATCCTTTATGACACGCTCATGACCAAAAAGTAGAAGAAAATACAAAAACAACGTTAAACGGACGTTAGAAAAATCAACGAGGTTCTCCAAATTTCAGGTAAGCTGTTTCCGACGCACACCACCGCGCACTAAGAGCAACAATGCCGCCGCCATAGGGCTGTATAGGCGGGGGGAAAAAGGAATTGGTAAATTCAAAAACTCGTTTGTAGGGGGGTTCTTAATGAAGCTAAAGCATGTGAAAGTTATGAAAAGATTATGTAAAGGGAAGAAAATTTATGACTTTACTTGTACTGAGCCATCCCAGGTGGCTCTCTAGTGGCTCGCAAGACCTAACTGTAAAAACAGTTGGCGACACCTTTAGTTCATATAATTTTCCCATATTTTCATATGTAGTTCCAAATCCCCACTGCGGATCTACACACTAATTTTGGTGTCATATCATTGCGTCTTTGCTGTAAACAAGTCTCTTGTTTATTTCAAGAAACTCCCGCTCTTGCAGGGAGAGCATATTGAAGCGAGAAATTGAAGGTTTTGCAGAGAATGGGACCTCCAGGTAGTGATGAGCACTGCGACGTTTTCAGAAGAGGAGGAAGCAAAAGAGGAAGAGAGTGATTGTTAGGAAAGGGAGGGATGAAAGTTGGAAGTGTGCACATGTATGACTCATGTGACGACAGCAAAAGAAGTTTTGCTCTTAAAAGTGAGCAAATATGTTGAGTTGATGGGCGTGAACTTACCTAAGTCGTCGAAGTTTTTTTACTCGTATGATTTCAAATAAGAATCCAGTTTAGGTTGCCTTGCGTGATTAGAAGGTTTATGCATAAAATAATTTTTACCTCTACTGATACTCCAATTCATCACAAAGGGATTGGCGAACATTTTATTTACGTAATACTAAGCTTGTCGCAACTATCGATGCACGCCTCCGTCTCAAATCTCCGGCCTCCTTACTCTAAGGCCAGTGCCCGCGGCCTCAGAGTATGGAGGCCGGGAGCACCGATTGTTTCGCCTTATCTAGTCGCATTACGGTAAATTTAGCTTCGCATTGCCGTAATCGCTGCCGGACTTCCTGCTGGCACGTATCCAACAAAATGGCTGTATAAGCCGCCTCATTTGCTCGCCTGCTCACTTTCGTCTTTAATGATTGTCTTTGTCCGTGATTTTAACATTGCATGTGGATGTTTTTCTTTTCGTTGTAAATCAAGCGATCGAAGCGGTTGCACAAAAATTTGAGAAAGTTTAAGCGCAGGACAGATAATGATGAGAGCGACCGTCTTGAAATTGTTGATAAAGTAGGATTATCGGGAGCGGAGAGGAATACAGCGTTTCCTTCAGGTCTAGTCGACCGGCGACAGATCTGTTGAGCGAGGCCTCGGGAAGTTATGGGTAGAGATAAAGATATTGAAGCCATCGGTAGCGTGGCGTTACGCGACCGATGGCCCCAATATCTCTATCTCTACTGTGTTTTCTTTTTTTATCTTATGTGTTTTCTTATTGTTCATTCAAAAGATCCAGTACATTAGTATAGTGTGGGTTTCTTTTTCTATGTTATAAAGATAAATGTGTTTGATCCATCGCCCCCTTTCTCTTCATCAGCGTTTACGCGCTAAGATACCCTCGCGCGGGTAGATAGTCCACGGCAGCGCTCGATAAGGAACAGCTAAACTTACTGGACGCGCAACATCATGTAAGGGACAGCAGGGGTCTTTGGTGTAGCTGCGGCGAGCACTTGCGGAAGGTGATCTCACCACAGAGCTGATACTTGCATTTTTGGGGCTCCGCTCAGGAGCTTGCAAAGACGATATCCCCTCTGCTTTTTATCCTCGAAACGATAACCAGCCTGCCCCGTGAGTGCCACCTGTGCCGAGCCCTAAGTAGGAGAAAGTGGGTGATCCGCGCTCTGAGCCAAGCATTTTGACGTATACAACATTTCAAAAGCCAATTTTCTTTGTTCCAAAGATTTCATTATCTTCAATTAGTGAGGAAACACCAACCAGTTGCTTCCTATGATTCGCTTGATGTATAGATACATAGGGCGTGAACAGCTTTTTCAGAGTGAAATAGTCATAAAATCTAGTGAAAGAAGAACAAACTTTTCATTGTTTTCCCGTAGTTTTTCGTGGGAGGGGACAATAGCGGCCACAGCTTCGCTTTTTTCGCCTCATTCGCGCTGATATTTACCGTGCCTGAAAGAGCTCCGAATTACCACAAAAGAGTGGGTAAACATTTTTGTTTTCTTCTGAGTATGGGTTATCGGACCTATACTCTGCCTCCTAGCTTCTGTATCATTCTTTCCCAGTGACAAATCGTCTGACGTAGTTTCTGAAGTGACGGGATGTATGACAGCAACTTTCTGATTCCCATCTGACACTTAAACATTTGCTAGTCAAAGACAACAACTTTAGAAAAGAAACAAGACTTGCCAGCACAGTCAGTCTCTTGTTGTTTCGAGTTTGACTGAGCAGAATTCGTTTGTGAGGCGGTAGTTGATTTTTTTTCAGCAGCCGTTTGCGAGGCTTTATTTGACGTTTTCTTTACCTGAATTAAGCTATAGGTTGTCGGATAATTTTTATCACACTTTTTCTATTTTTTCTGGTATATTCAAGCTTTCCAGAGACCTCAGATTTGCCGTACACTTAGGATATAGGATCTACGCACCAGTATGTATGACACATCGCAAGTGACGAAATAAGTTTACGACAGTTTGATAAAAACACATTTTCATTTTCTGTCAGATCTCTCTGCAACTGCTTGTGCTTTTCCTCTTATTTGTTTAGAATCTATTTTGACACTGTCTCTTACAAGGAGATACTCTGGTGCCTCTAGCTTCTCAAAAACGAGGAGTGAAGTAAATATCAAAAGAAAATTTTTGAAAAATTTTCCTAAAGTCTTCTTCTTGACATCTTGTAGACATGGATAAAGAAATTTTGAAAATGATTTTTTGATTTTATTTGGAAGAGTTTGCGCACACCGAAATTTTAACGACTTGAACTCACCTCTACTTTTAAACCAGGTGGATGTTCCAGGAATCCTCTATGAATGACAGCTTTCGGAGCATCGTAGAAAAGAAATGGAGTATGTTTGCCATTTCTCTGGCAAAGCTCTCCTTAATCAGTATGTTAGGTTGTCCCAGAAGTACCCCCTTTCTATATGACTAATTAAATCAAACTGTTGTTTTTATAGGAGACTAGCTGGCTTACCCGGCTCCGCCGTATCCGGACCAAACTTGGCACACATACACTTCGGGCCCCGGCGGGTGTCACAGTCCACTTTTCGTTATCGATCGATATCGATTTTATCGATTTCTTGCAGAGTTCACCTACGGGGCTGGGAGTTGGCATAGGGAGGTAAGTGAGCATGGGGATGCCGAATACAATATTAGTTTTCAGAATTATCGATTACTTTTATTGATTTTATCGATTTTTTTGTAAAGTTTGACCTGCGGGGCTGGGAGTTTGCACAGGGGTAATCGAGCATGCAGATTACGAATACAATATTAGTTCTCAAGATCGTCCATTACTTTTATCGATTCTATCGTTTTGAAAATTTGAGCTAGGGGGCTGGAATTTGGCACAGGGGTGTAATCGAGCATGCTGATCATCCCCCCTTGATCAGCATGCTCGATTACCCCCCTGTGCGAACTCCCAGCCCCGTAGCTCAAACTTTGCAAAAAAATCGATAAAATCGATAAAAGCAATCGATAATCCTGAAAACCAATATTGTATTCGGAATCCCCATGCTCGATTACCCCCCCCCCTGTGCGAACTCCCAGCCTCGTAGGTGAACTCAGCAAAAAAATCGATAAAATCGATAAAATCGATATCGATCGATGACGAAAAGTAGCCTATGACACCCGCCGGGGCCCGAAGTGTATGTGTGCCAAGTTTGACCCGGATCGGTTCAGAAATGGAATTTTCTATTCGGAACATACGTACACACAGACAGACATACAGACAGACATACAGACAAACAGACATTCAGCTTTATATTAGGTCGTTTCAAAAGTAATTTCGCTTTTTTCAAACGGACACTACATTTGACGGAACAAAGGTTTCTAAGAGATCTTGGAAGCATTCGATTCAGAATTTCATTCTCTTTCTAACTGTTACGAAATTGTTGCAAAATAGTCAATGATCTTTCAGAAAATAACCGAAATCTGCGACCCATGCTTTTGGAGATGGTTAAGTTCCAGAATTTTTTTAAACTTCCGTATCAATCTTCAGAAGGAGTTCAAGTAAAGATTCTATAGAGTAAACCTTACAGAATACAAAACTACTTTTTTCTCTTTCTTGTAACTCGCCGTAATTTTTTGAAAGATTTTTTAACAGAAACATCGGATTTTGGCAGGCCCACCTCAGCCACAATCACATGAAACATCATAATTTTTCGGAATTTGAAACTACCAAGATAGTATAATGAGTTAGCATTAATTTTACAAAGCAAGTGAGGGCTTACGGGTTCCAAATATTCAATTTCGAGTTTTTCGGGTACAGCCTGGGGCTCGCCAAAAAAAATGAGATATGATGATTTCTCCCCGAAACTAGACGAATCGGAAACAAAAAAAATCCGTTAAAAAGAGGAGAAAATGCTGCATCGAATAGTGCGCGAGCTGCTCTTCTTTTGATATTCGACGAGGACTTAGCTGCCCGAGTATGGAAATCGGTAGCATCAGTTAAAATTCCGTTAAAAATGGATGACAAGCTATGGAAATGAGAAAAAAGTAGTTTTGCATTCTGTAGGGTTTGCTCTATAAAGACGTTACTTGCCCTTTTTCGGAGGGTTGATATAAAAGTTTCAAAAAATTGTGAAACTTGACTATCTTAAAAAGCATAGGTCGCAGATTTTGGTTATTTTCTGAAAGCTCATTGACTGCTTTGCAACAGTTTTACCACCATTAGAAAGAGAATGAAATTCTGCATCGAATGCCTCCAAGATCTCTTAGAAACCTTTGCTCCATCAAATGTGGCGCCCGTTTGAAAAAAGCGAAATTACTTTTGAAACGACCTAATATATAAGACTAGGGTACCATTTGATAGAGCGAAGCAAGCTCTACAAAATGACCACAAAAAAACCGCCTAAGTCGTTCATCCAGGCAAAATTTAGAGCCAAAGAACGAAATCAATCAAACACTCATATGGGGCTCCTAATTGGTCACTATACACACAAAGTGGTACCCAAAAATGTATTTGTTGAATTTTTGCCGAGCTCAAATTTAGGGAATGAAAACAGACCGAAAATGTTTTCAAATGTGGCATTTCTCGATTAGGGCACACACAAAGGTAAAATGAAGTTGCACGCCAAGGCTTGCAATGTACGATCAGACATGTTGAAGGAGCTGGGGGCGGAGTTTGTCACTTTTGGACTTTTTTCTCGCTTTCTATGCAAGGAAAAATCCAGATGCATTTTTGAGTAATATTATGTGTCTACTGTATAATAACAAAGATGAAGGTCTGTAAGGTTTTTTCCGCGAAAATTAAATTTCCAAGTGATAAAATTTTTTTCCTTTTTCGGTTCCGAATTTCACCTGTATTATGACCTGGGCTGGTCCTTTGGTAATCGATTTGTATAGCTTGCTTCGCTCTATCGAATGTTACCCTAAGTTTGCTAGGAACAAAAACATCTTGATTTAGTCAAGAGGTTCACTCTAGGGACAGCCCATCAGTTCTTTGTTATAAGTACAATCTATGTAACGTCAGGCCAACCTAAAGTGCTTTTGTCCGCAATTCGTCCACGATGGATGTAAATTTGTAGATCATCATCAAAATAGCCAGCTTTGTACCAATCCTGCATTTCTTCTGCAGAAAACGATCCTCTAAAAAAAAGATAATTTTTTCAAGTCAGTAATGTGATGTTCAAAATTACCTGAAATCTCCATATGAATCAATGTAGCTAAACTCCCATCCGAACATGGTTTACAGCAAAATGCGGTGTGAGTAACTGCAAAGAAAATAAGCGTATAGGCTATCTCAACCGCAGTGTCGGGTGCACCAGCGGCTTTGGTCCCGCAGCTACCTCGCTGGCCTTGTACCGAGTTCGCAAACGTATTTTATGACCATTTTCCCATGCCTGAGTAGTGTTGAAGCTCAATTCTGGGCCTTTTCATATTTGCTGCATTGTCCGCGCGGGGCCCTCCCATTTCGGGGACATATAGTCCTCTATCCATTTCGTTGTTCTAAAGGGTACATGTTGTTTTTGCAAAGTTCATATGAGCATAACTCATCGTTTTTCTTAAAATACAGGCTGTCTCAATTGCAGGGTCAGCATCAGCTGCTCGGGTCTCGCGTGGCCGCATCGCGTGTATCCCGCAACGCATTCGCGAGCTCCTCTGGTCATTTTACCGTATCTAAGTGGTGCATATGTTGGAATATATTTGTTGCAGATGTCCGGCGGGACCTCCTACTTTCGACAACATATGGTCCCTTACCCCAAAAAAATTGGCGGTTGGAAGGCAAACGCTCGCGCGCGCGACGCAGCCCGCACCTCTCTCAAGCGTGCTCTCTAATAATTCTGTAGCCTTGATTAGGCCTCGAAGCCCCGCCTTTCGGCCGCCTATCCCGTCAAATCAAAGAGTGAATACCTTTCAAAACAAAGGAAATATGGCGGTTCCATTAAACTAAAAAGCTGCCTCTAACTTGAGCATTCATTTGCAAACCGTGCCTCATAAAAAATCGGACAAAAAAGTATATTAGACAATCTCCATGTGGGACTCAATTCTCAAGTTCTAGCCAGATGTATTCTTACATACATGGTCAAAGATCATCGTGAGTAATATAGCATGAATGAGCAGACTTAGTATGAGATATAGAATCACATCAAAGCACACTCTTTGCGATAATCGTAATAACGTTCTTTTCCAGTTTTTGATAACGAAAGTCGACGTTGCATGGATTTTCTTTTTTCAGAAAATTCTTCAAAAATGCCATCATCCATGCTCCAAGAAAATGCTCTATCTCTTCCGTTCATAGAAGAAAGATGATCCCTCGATAATTTCGCCGATTTCGTGCACAGTCTATTGGAAGTAGCCTCTAAAAATAGAGATTTCAAAAACCAAGCTTTAACGAGTAATCTAACCTGTAGCTCCGCCCTCGTCGGATTCATTGTACAGCCTCATCTCTTCAAGCACATCTAGAGCCTCTACCACACACTAAGCATAAACTTTGAAGAAAATGGTATTAGTGACAATAATGCGAATAACCTTGCCAGAATGCGCTTTAGTGGTGCAATGCTCAAACATGAGTGTACGAGGCATTGTCACGTCGCACAAATCACAGTAAAATTGCTGAAAAAGTTTGCTATAATTTGACCATCAAAATTTTGCTGAAGGCAGAGCCGCAACAAAATTTGATTGTTAAATTTTTCTACGTTACAAGCTTCTTCAACCCTCTCTAACCTTATGTAGGGTCAATAATAGTCATAAGGAAAATATGCGTTCAATTCCCATTATGTCAATAATCACAAAGCCATTGCCTTCCTGCCTTTAGACGGAGTAAAAGTATTTGCAGGCCTTCTCCGGAACTAATTGCGTAAAATCCCCCCAAAAACCCGTTTTTTTAAGGCCCCGAGGCAATTTGGATGAAATGTGATTTCCTACTCTAGCCTGTGCCGCAGATTCAGACAAATCACCCGGCGGGCCACTTGGTTAGAATTTTACCGCGGTAGAAGTGACAGAATCGAATCGGACCACAAGTGGTGGCCTATTCAAGGGGACTTCTGACAGAACATACGAAAATGCTGCCCGAGTTTTCGTGAGCTGCTTTTGCAGGGCAGCGTCTAGGCAAAGTCGCTCTCTCGATTACTAACTACCCTAAAATCCCATAGATAAGAGCGGTTTAAACCGGTGAAAATGAATTGGAATGAATTGAAATTGAATGCAGTCACCCCTCTAACTTGATGGTTGGATAAATAAAAATCGGAGAAAAAGTTTAGAAGAAGCTCCGCCCACTTAATAAACAATTCATATAGAAAAATGCGATTTCAACGGAATTTCGGAATTTCTAAATGAATTGCTTATTGAGTGGGCGGGGTTTAGAGTTGAGGGGCGGAGCTTCTTCTAAACTTCTTCTCCGATTTTTATTTATCCAACCATCAAGTTAGAGGGGTGACTGCATTCAATTTCAATTCATTCCAATTCATTTTTGACCGGTAAATTAAACCGCTCTTATCTATGGGATTTTAGGGTATTCTAGAAAAAGGCCCTAGGAATGAGACATCTGCGCTAATTCGGTCCTCAATGTGGCCTATCAATGGAAAATGGGCTTGGAACCCGCGAAAGGGGTATCAAAACCACTCCCGGCTTATCAAGCTCCGCCCACTCAAGTATTGGAAGTCGTGTGCGCTTCCAGGATGAAGGATTCCATGAAGTGGAGAGGGAAGGGATTCTGCGCATTCTGCACTCTGTATCTGTGATCAGGGCCACGGAAAAGCCCAAGAACGACAAAAAAAGAAGAGGAAGATTTGGGCGGACGCTGCCTTCAAGCCTAAAAAGACATGGTTGAAGACTTTTTGTTCATAGTTTTGTTGTTATAGTATGCACTCTATAAATCTGTACCTATTTGTGGAAGTATTGCGGGAAATTTTTAAAAACTTGATGCATAGAGTAAATCACTTGGTTTCCATGTTTTTCTCTTTGACTTCTAATTTCTCACTGAAGCAGAGGAAGCTCTACAGATGCCGTCCAATCATCGTAAAGATTTTATAAATATTATCACCACATCCAACCGGATCCAAAAAACTCTACTAACTTCCCCCTGCTCAAGCATATACTGCTTATGGCAATTTTCAGCATATATGCCATGTACAAATTTTATTATTAGATTCAAAATTGTTTCATGCTTGAAAAACTATTTGTACTCTTACAGCATGCACTTCTCAAAATCTTCGGAGAAACTTTCACCAAGATATTTTCGTTTTTTTTAGGAAAGCTAACGTTTTGACACCTCACCTTGCCGTAATCCACCTTGCTCGCGCCAGCTTCATAGTTTCTGTTGCATTCGTTCATCGGTTCCTTCGCAGATAACTCTAAATTCTAACAAAAATCATCTGATCACTCCTTATCACAACCACACAGCGTCTCTTGACAATCGCTAAGTTGAAAAAAATTCGCATCAAAATTTTTATCACCTCTTGTTTTTCTTACATTTTCGAGGCCATATAACAGCGAGGAATGAGAGCCTGAATTGGACGACAATGGTTCGGAAGGGTTGCCTGTAACCATTACGTTTATTCGCAATCTTCCGTTTTTGATAAGATTACCTCGTCTCAAAGTTACAACCTCAAAGAACGGGTTCAAGTCACCGTTTCTTTCTCTCAGCTCTTCTGAAAATGAGCAATTTTACACGCTTTTTCCAAATGTGAACTTACCTAATGTAGTTGATCGCCCATATAGTCCATAATGAACAAAGATGTGTAACGTTGATGGTAGATAGCCTTTTAGATACCAATAGTGCATCTGCACTCCTTCAAATGGACCTCTGAAGCAAAGTTTTGAGAGCGAAAACTCCTCATTCGGACTTTTGGCTTCAAGTGACGAAGCACCAAAGCAAGTGGATCCGGACAAATAAAATAAAATTAACCTGAGTTGTTCGTTCTCATCGATGTAACTGAAAAGGGGCATGGTCGAAGTGCTTCTGCAAGTTTGAAAAATAGGACGAACAGTTTTTTGCATCGAAAAAATTCTAACCAGCTCAGACTTGCAGAGAAATGCAAAGATACGAGGAATTTCGTCCTGAAAGGCTTGCGAAAGATACAAGTTTTAGCAATTGAAGAAGAAGCAGAGATTTGAAGAAGGAGAAAGGGGATGAAACAGTGACGTGGCACGTCAATCGAACAAAAGTATAGATCGCTTTCTGGCTACATCTGTATTTATTACTTTAGAAAAGACAACTGGTTTTTGAGATAAATGCAACATTTGGAGGAGAGGAGGATATAATGAGATAGATTTTAGCGGGATTAATGAAAAATGTATCCGGGGGAGAAGATATAAGTCAATGTCAGCTGCGAAACGAGGGGGCGGGGATATCCTGAGAATGGGTCGCAAAATTTTTGAAATTACTTACATGAGTTATAAAAATGTGCAAGTGACTTATTTGTTCTTGTAAATGATTTAAGTAATTTTTAAAAATTTTTGAAATTCAAATTAGCTTCGTAAGAAAATTTTCGGAGTCGTGGCTAACGCCACGCCCCTTTTTTAGATTTTAGGGTTTGCGAGCCCGCAAAAAATTTCAAGAAGCACCCAATACTTTTTCAGAGTACAGGCGCCTACATTTGAAAATTTCTGCCGCTCACCTCCTCCCCCCCCCCCCTGAATCAAAACCCTGCGACCACCACTGGTCAATGCGTACTACTCCAAAATAATCTTACAGCTTTCGGCACAGTAGACAGCGGTGGCTATCCGGGATTTTTTTTTTTGAGGAAAAAGGGGGGGGGAGGGAAAGAGAGCAATAACTTTCTTCAAATGATGGTGGAAACCACGCTTTCCGCTAAGCTTTGGCTTCTCAAATTTTTTGCGGCCTAATAACTTACGCCCTCGAAAATACAGGGTGTCCGTAAAGTATGTATACACTGTTTGATCGTTAATATCTTTCTTCCCAACAAGTCTTTTGTCTTGCTTCAGGCACCGTTTTGTAGAGCTGGCTTCAGCTTATATTTACAGTATGGAGCGAATCATCTATCGCTTTTTATTACTGTAGGATTACGGTACGAACTTCCAGCATATGGAACCAATCATGACTTATAATAAGCGGCTTAATCTGAAGTTGTGTGGAGTTTGTCCGTTACGAAATTACAGTGAGGAATGATTTACAATAATAAACAGCATGTGAGGTTGAGATAACGAGTATGGTTCATTTTTAACTACGGCTCCCACGTTTCAGTCAACCGAACAATGATTTGAGGGACAAGCTCTGAGACAGTAAGTTTACCACGGTTCATGATAGCCAGTGCGAACCTCTGCGAAGCAGAGGTGAAGCACTGGTGTGAAATATACCGCTTAACAAAAATTTTTTCAAAAAATCTGAAAAATCGTGTACTAGGGTTTTCGCGCATGCTGATTCCACCTAACAACTTTTTACAAGTGTTTTCGGCTTTTCTTGACGGTGTGATTACATTTTTGACAAATGCAGGGAATTGAGTTACTACGATTCGGGGATAACTTAGAAAAGAAGCATCACAGTAAAACGGGAATATCAAATTCGAAATAGCGGCTCCCATTACCGCAGCATAAGAGTTTTTGGCTTGTTTGATCTTGTTCCGAGGCAGAATATAGCCTCCAATGGCCTAAAATTTTTGTCGAAGTTCGTACCGTAATCCTACAGTAACGAAGAGAGATAGATAATTCGCTCCAAACAGTAAATCTAAGTTTAACCTCGCTCTACAAAACGCTACCTGAAGCAAGGCAAAATACTTGTTGGGAGGAAAGATATTAATTATCAAACAGTGTATACATACTTTACGGACACCCTGTACTTTTCATATAAAGCTAATCTAGGTTCTGAAAAATTCAATAAAATTTTGATTATTTACATATAATTGACTTGCACAATTTCATAACACGTCGACTACTTTAATAGATTTCACGAGCCATTTTCGCTGACTCTGGTCTGTGCTACGTGCCCCTTTCTAAGTAGAAGCAACGCAACCGCAACGCGATAGTCATGCGTGCGGACCTTCAATCGATGGCGCCTATTCGAATGCTTGAGTCGCTGGGCCATACGCGCGCGAAAGTTGTGCGAAGCTCTGGCGTAGAGACCGCGCCGATGAAAGAAAATGCGTGATTGGTACAGGTGTATAAATACATGATACTTCACTGTAATATCTGCAGGAAAAAAAATATGCTAATTTAAGAATATGATACTGTTTAGGCTTTAATCTCTACGAAAAGGGAAATAAGCATAAATCCGGTTACATGCAGTTTGAAAAAGGCAGAATGCTCTTATTGGACAGGCAGACGAGACATATAGGACAATCATTACATGCATTTATGGCCAAATGAATCACGCACTCTGCCCTTCCAAGGCCTTATCGACATATTTGATTTGAATATTGTTATCAAGTCTAATTCAAAAACTTCACATATGGCTCAAAAGGGCTTTCACTGAATTGGGACGCCAACTCCGAAAATGCATGATATTATTGCCGAATGACAGTATAAATTTGTCGTTATTACAGGATCTCGTTCGCCTTGCTCAGATTAGAGTTTTCATCTCCATTTTTCGTTATGTATCCGAATTAGTTGGAGATTCGAAGTTCTCATAACAGTTAAGACCTAAGGTATGGTTGCAAAGCCTCGGGATGGTACCTCACCAATTGATAACAATAAGACCGATAAGAAGATAATTTTTCAAAATAAGTGTACCATGTATTCTAACAAACATCGTCTTATTCTAGACGCTCGCTGGAAGTAAGAAATGTTTTATAAATAAGGGACAAAATCACATTATATGAACGCAGAAGCCAAAACACCGAAAAAATGCAAATTAAGGTCGACCTTCATCCCAAAAAAGGATGAGAAGGTAAGAAAAGGCAGAAGCGGAGATACGATGAAAAGAATCGATTGATATCGACTTCAGCCCATTTGATTTTGGTAAAGAGAGTAAAAAGGATTAGGGAAGCAGAAGCTAACGTTATGAGAAAAATCAATTCTTATCAGCTCAACCCCAAGACGATTCTTGTTGAAAAGGAATGTAAAAAAGGACCAAGGAAGAAGCTAAGCGTTGAAACATACGTCTTACACGACCTGGTAAAAACCGCAATAACTCATATTTCTTTCCTACTTCACATAGGTTCTGGGTACCTCTCGGGAAAGTATCTACAAAGTATAGGGTACTTCTTCGTTATCCGGACCCATTTTTTCAAAAAAAGATATTGCTTCTTTTCTGGCACCAAATTTGGTAAAAACTTCATAGGATGGAGAGTCAACCTTCTGTTACGTGTCAAAGAGATTGACATGTCAATTTACATGTCTAACAGGTTTTATACCTAACGTTTGTTCAGCCTACCTATCAACAAGTTCAGTTTCTTTTATATTCAACTAGCTGGCAAACCCGGCTCCGCCCGGCCCTGTCATTATTATATTCGTAATCAGCATGCTCGATTACCCCCCTGTACCAACTCCCAGCCCCGTAGCTCAAATTTTCCAAAAAATCGATAAAATCGGTATCGATCGATAACGAAAAGTAGCCTATGACACGCTCCCTGCCCCGAAGTATATGTGTGCCAAGTTTGGTCCAAATCGGTTCAGAAATAAAAATTTCTATTCCGCACATACGTACAGACATACAGACATACAGACAGACATACAGACATTCAGCTTTATATATAAGATAATGACCTTTGGTCAACAATTTCTTTTATAGATTTAAAATTATGAGATAAAATCGAAGCGCTTATTCGAAGGTAACATGTTGAAATGATCGAAAGGCAGCCACGTTTATGGTTCACTAGCTGGCATGCCCAGCTCCGCCCAGCCCTGTCAAAAACAATAAAGGTTCCATTTCTATTCCTGTACAACTTTACCTGTGCCCACTTCTACATGCAATTCCCTATTCCCGCTGTACAGAGCAAGTTGTATTGTGGTTTGACATGTAAAGGAGAGATGAGTGGCATTAATGACTCTAAGGCAGGCGCTATACTCCTCGAGGAGTATAGCATGGCGACGGGCGATCGCCGTAGCGACTGGCGATCGCCCGTCGCTAATCGATACGTACCAAACGTGTAGTCGCCGATATTGGCGATCATTACTCATTTCCCACTTCCATTTCAAAGTACTCACCAGCCGGTGAGGTCGCCCTAAAAAGAATGAACTGCAAGACCAGTGTTTTTCACATTCAACACTTAACGGTAACTTGTTTGGCATACTCCTCGAGGAGTATAGCACCTGCCTAACAACAATGAGCTTCATTTTTTGCTGCTTTGCTGCTTAGCGGCTACTCGCTTTGCTCACCTCACTGCTTCAAGCTGATTTCGGATGCAACGAATGACTTCGGATTTTTTTCTGGAGATATTTATTAACTATTACTAAGTAAGTAGATATTTGCATCATTCGAAACAGCCGCTTAAATCTTTTTTAAACTTTCTAACATGACAAAAAATTCTTGGAAATTCTTGCCCAATTCCATGAGTCTCGATCCTACCTCACTATACGCCTAATAAAGAAAGTATTGACCGTAACTGTGATATGAGCAGTCGATCGCAGCATAAAATATAGTGCTCATGGACATAAACGATCAAGACTTACAGTGAGGATACTTTCCACTGCACTTCACTAAAAGAAGTTCACAATGAGACATGCTGGTCATGTTTACATATGTCTGTAGAGCTGGGTTGGTAGCAATGATATGAGCTCATTTGCATTGCGAAGTGCAAAAATCAATAAACAAATTTTTGTAAAAAGTATTCTAAAACCGTCTCTGGGGTCAAAAACATCTGTATGCAAAGTTTTAGCCCAATCGGTTGAACGGCAGGCGTTTCTATAGCTCGCATACCCTCCAAACGGACAATTTTTGAGTTTTATATATCACTTATAATAACGGGCTAAGGGTTGTTTACGTGTTTTGTGTGTGTGTGTGTGTGTGTGTGTGTGTGTGTGTGTGTGTGTGTGTGTGTGTGTGTGTGTGTGTGTGTGTGTGTGTGTGTGTGTGTGTGTGTGTGTGTGTGTGTGTGTGTGTGTGTGTGTGTGTGTGTGTGTGTGTGTGTGTGTGTGTGTGTGTGTGTGTGTGTGTGTGTGTGTGTGTGTGTGTGTGTGTGTGTGTGTGTGTGTGTGTGTGTGTGTGTGTGTGTGTGTGTGTGTGTGTGTGTGTGTGTGTGTGTGTGTGTGTGTGTGTGTGTGTGTGTGTGTGTGTGTGTGTGTGTGTGTGTGTGTGTGTGTGTGTGTGTGTGTGTGTGTGTGTGTGTGTGTGTGTGTGTGTGTGTGTGTGTGTGTGTGTGTGTGTGTGTGTGTGTGTGTGTGTGTGTGTGTGTGTGTGTGTGTGTGTGTGTGTGTGTGTGTGTGTGTGTGTGTGTGTGTGTGTGTGTGTGTGTGTGTGTGTGTGTGTGTGTGTGTGTGTGTGTGTGTGTGTCTGACTGTCTGTCTGTCTGTCCGTTACGAAATTCGTAGAGCGAGTTCCAGCCAACCTCTTGAGCCCAAATTTTGCAAGGTGCATGCTAGCAGCATGAAAGCCCACTATGCAAAAGCACGAGCGGATCCGCTGCGAAGATCCTTCAAAAATTGTGCTCAAAACGGATCCACTTGGCTTCTGGCCAGCAAAATTGGGCCTGTACCATCACTTTTTGCAAAGTCATGGATATGTTTAACAAGCTAAGGCGCAATTCATGGACTTTAGCCCAACAAATTGAACTAAAATTGATTACTTCACGAAAATGGCGCCGAAAAATAATTGCGTGAATGTTTAATTTGCCAAGATTTTACCTAATCATTTGAGAAGATTTTTGCACAAAGATGTAGCCCACGGTAGTCATAGTTGTTATGGCGACTACCGAACCGTAAAAAGTTCAAAAAGAAAGAAAACTTGCTTGAACACCTCAGTAAGGCGCAGCTCGATAAGGAGTATGTGATTGAGTCCTTTGATGTTACCTCATTGTACACCAACGTCTCTAATGAAGCTGCTTTGCAAGCTGTATTCGAGCTGCTTTCAGAGCATCGAGACTCTCTCAATACGTGTGGGTTCACTCCTCAGATAATGACACTCCTGAACGAATGCCTTAGCTGCAACATCTTCCGTTGGTCAGGCCAGTATTACAGGCAAATCAGGGGATTAGCCATGGGGCAAAGGCTAGCCCCTACTGTAGCTATCGCTTTTATGTCTAAAGTCGAAGCTCCAGTACTGCCTCGCAAGCCACCGTTATACTGCCGCTATATAGATGATTGTTGCATCGTGTGCCCCACGCAAGAAGAGATGGATATATGCTTCAGTCTTCTAAATAGCCAATCCCCACCATCAAATTCACCAGGGAAAAACCCAGCGAAAGTTGGCTTGCCTTTCTCAACGTTCAGGTACATCTATCGGGTAGCTCGTACAAAACAAAATGGTATCGGAAGCCAAGCAATAAGAACATCTTAATCCATTATCGCTCTGCTCACCCTTGGAGCACAAAGCGGTCGGTGGTAGGTAACATGTTTAGGACAGCCAAAGCAGTCTCGTCGGATGCGTGCGCACGCGTTTCATCAATAAATATTGCCAAGCAGATCGCGCAGTCTAACGGCTACACAATAACGGGTAGTCTGTCAAAGTACTCGCATACGATCGCATATGCACAAGTCCAGGTTGCGTGATCTGCCCAAGCGGGAGGCCAGGTGATTGCATGGAGTTAGGGGTGGTCTACATGATCACGTGCTTATCATGTGGGGACCACTACATAGGCGAAACGGGCAGGCCTTTGTGCGTAAGGATCAAGGAGCACCTGGACGGCCTCGAAAAATCAAAATCATCCACACCACTAGGCGCCCATCGCAGGCAATGCCATGATAATCGCTTCTTCGAAACAATTGTCACGATCCTATCGCGAGAACCCGAGGTGATAGCGCAAAAAACCTTAGAGGCGTTCTGGATAACATCCAAGAACCCTAAAATGAATCGCAAAGAGGAATGCATCGCCGTGACCAATGAGTTAGTACTGTATCAAAACGATTTTGATCTGCGAGGTCGAGGTCGGTGCTATAAGAGAGGCTAATTCACTAATGAGGGCATAATTCAGTCCGCAGTACATGCTCTGTTCACTGATGCCTATAACTTATATAACTACGCCTATTATCGTTAGCATTCTACCACTGCACGAATGGGCATGTCGTCTGTTCAATAAAGCTCTAATAGCTGACGTGTTCTAATAACACACAAGGAGCCACCATACTCCACTACAGGCGCCACCCATCCGCCTAAGGCTACAATAAAGCCTACAACCACCACATTTATGGTGCAGGCGACGACGCCGAAACGTAAGCCCGAATAAAGAATTTAACAATCTTGGCGCAAGGCTATACAATCAATCCAAAAGTTAATGTGGAATAGTACCGGCAGGCCAAACTGGCGAAGTTTGTTCCCCTAACCTCCTTTCTCAAGCGGAGTAGGTTGCCAAAAAGTGAACACCGGCTAGCCACATGATGAGGAGATTTTTACCTGGCTCTTGATAAAATGATTAGGGTGAGCACTAATTTGAGACCGTCTGTTTCAGCGATATAGGGTTTCCCAAAGTTTGAATGTCTGTATTTGATGTTAGTGATCAGAACGCTTGACTACAAAGTGTTCAAAATGTCGCAGTCAATTTTCTCCTTCGCGAAGCTATCACGAGTCGAGCTCCCTCAAAGTGCCCGGGCAGATATGACATTGTGGTGTACAGGGCTCCCGTCATCAAAAGCTCTGGCCTAAGTGGCATTGCGCCACTGCTTCTGAAGCGAGAAAACCGCTCAGATTTGGCGATCGGAACGCCTTGGCGTTGGCCGCCCCTTCAATCTGTAGCCGTATTACGTATGTCGCACACAGTCAAGTCGTAGGATCCCACGCAACTCGCGCCTTAGGCCTAAGGCATACCTCTCGCGATTTCCCGAAATCGCCACATCCTCGCGACTTGGCGATTTGCCAGGTGTCTAGAGATTAAGCATGCGAGGCTTCCAGATGCATGTGTGCGTAGATCCCGTAAATTGTAACAAACACAGCAAGTCTGGCCTAAGCAAAGTACGTTTACGACCAGTTATGGAGAGTCGTTGCAGTGCCAAATGCGCGGCGACTAAAATCGCGTGAGGTATGCCTTAGGCCTTAAAGGCAGTGTCCCACCAGACTGCGGGTATCTGGCTGTCGTAGTAATGTAATAGTAGACCCTCTACCCAATCGATGTCTGACGTTCGGAGCGAAGAAGAGGTCTACCAAGCCTGAAATTTGCTCCGAAAGTGGTCCGAATATTACGGTAGGCTCGGGCGAGTACGAGATGGATGCAAGGTAGAGACACAGAGTCGTTACGGGACCCTGCGCTCATGACTGTATGCGCTATGGCTGCGTTCATACTGATTACGAAATCTGGGAACAGTTCCAGCATAGTGGAACTAAGCGTTGTGCTGGGACTGTTCCCGGACTTCGGAATCAGTATGAACGCAGACTATAGCACTCTGGCCTTGCGAACGATATTGCTGTGTGGGCAGTATTCGGGCCTACCGTAAAATTCGGACCACTTTCGGGGCAAATTTCAAGCTTGGTAGACTCCCTTTTTCGCTCCGAACTTCAGACATCGATTAGGTAGGGGGTCTACTATTAGGGATCGTTCAGACCGCGCCGGAACCCGCCCAAACTCGCCCGAATCCGCCCGAATATTTCCAAACGCCCAAACCCGCCCAAATACGTCCGAACCCGCCTGAACTGCCAAAGCGCAGCAGGTTGCATGCAAATTGGCATATTGGAGCACGCGTGCGATTGATCCTTCTAATATCGGAGTAGTTGCAAAAGAAGATCGGTATGTAACGTCGAGCTACGTGTGACTGAGATAATGCACTACGCGAGCATTATTCCACGCCTGCTCCAATATGCCAATTTGCCGCATATCCGCTGCGCTTTGGCAGTTCCAGCGTTCAGGCGGGTTCGGACGGATTTGGACGTATTTGGGCGGGTTTGGGCGGATTTGGACGTATTCGGGCGGGTTTGGACGGATTCTGGCGCGGTCTGAACGATCCCTTACATTACTACGAGAGCCAGATACCCCCAGTCTGGTGGGACACTGCCTCTAACCTCGGCAAGCGTCCTATTCAAATTGATAGCTTCTGAAATGGCCTACTCTACAAGCTGCATTTTCAAAATCACCGGGAAGAATAAGCCCAAATAAGCGAGAAAATGTTGTTCGACATTTTACCCGAACGCTACCTTTGACTTCTCCCTGACAATGAGTTTTTGATGAAATGTTTAGTAAAATATAGGTTCGCTGAAAGCAACTCGATTCTGTAAGTAAGTACAATTCCAAACTTACAACATATATTGAGGAGAGGAAAGCTATTATTGGAAGTGAAGTGTGCAATCGTAAAAGTGATCAGCCTTCCCACCTTCGAAATTCGCGCGCGAACGGTACTTAATTGAAGACGAATTTCGATACGAGCGCGGAAAGACCTTGCTTTTCCGCACTAAAAGAGAGATTCGCAAAGACAATAGCTGCTCACTCTAGATTATAATTATGTTTCAGGAAAAGACCATGGTAATCGAAATAAATAGGACTCTTCAAAATTAGAGTAACAACTGAAGATTTTAGCGAGAGGACTTTTCTTGGAAAATGAGAATGGTGATAACAGCAATGGAAGAGATGTTATCATTAAGGTGATTTCGTCGAGAATGAACTATCTGTGCGCAATGTATATTCACGAGCAGACACATGTCAGCACGAAAATCACCAAGCAACAATTTTCTCAAAACATTTTGGCTTAGAAAAAGCAAAGAATATTATCGAATTACTTCAACGGTTGCAAGGTAAACAAAATCACAGAATTGGTATCATATCACATTGCGCAATCTACTCAAAGAAATTTCAAAATTACGAAAAATTTGGCTTTGAGGGTCGGAAATTGAATTGACGCACCGTGATAATAATAGCATAGGACTAATCAATTGCATCATAGCAATCAGCTATTAGAAGAACACTTCAAACTTATGAGCACAATAGCTATACAGCATGCACGCATTTGATAAATTCTACAATACTTATTGAAGAAAGTGGAAGGTCATGCATCGAGTAAAATTCTTCATCTTATATACATAAACTGCAAATCTGACTTAATCTGTATCACACACGGTTGCTTGCCAAGGTGAGATTGTATATCGTACAATGTCTCGTCTTCGTTCGATTTGCTACTGAGCAACGCCTTCACGGTAGAAAGTGGGCTGTAAATAGATGAGTCAATTTACAAGCGAATCTATATAGATTTTTATCAACGTTTGTCCTAAGGTGGGGCAAACAGGGTCTTTTGCAGAGCAGCTATATCACCAGCTGGCCTGCGCCAGCTGAATACCTGAATCACATGAACGACATGATGTCAAGGGTTGGCTGACTCAAACCTACACCAGGCTGCCGCTAACATCTTATATATAAAGCTGAATGTCTGTTTGTCTGTCTGTCTGTATGTCTGTCTGTATGTCTGTCTGTCTGTATGTATGTACGTATGTTCCGAATACAAATTTTTATTTCTGAACCGATCGGGACCAAACTTGGCACACATATACTTCAGGGCAGGGAGCGTGTCATAGGCTACTTTTCGTTATCGATCGATATCGATTTTATTGATTTTTTGCAAAATTCGAGCTAGAGGGCTGGGATTTGGCAGAGGGGGGTAATCGAGCATGCTGATCACCCCTTCGGGGTGATCAGCATGCTCGATTACCCCCCTGTGCAAAATCCCAGCCCTCTAGCTCGAATTTTGCAAAAAATCGGTAAAATCGACATCGATCGATAACGAAAAGTGGGCTGTGACACGCTCCCTGCCCCGAAGTGTATGTGTGCAAAGTTCGGTCCCAATCGGTTCAGAGATAAAAATTTCTATTCGGAACATACGTACACGGGTCTAGCTGGCAGGCCCGGCGGAGCCGGGCAAGCCAGCTAGTATATTATAAATTTTACGGAAATGGGAGCTATGTTGAAAATGTGACAACGCAATTTCAGGTGCTGAAGTTGCAAAGAAAAAATCTCCAAACATGAGCAAAGAAATTTCTCTAATAGAATTTCTCCAAATACAATCAAGCAACCATTAACCCAACTCGTAATGAGCACGTGGAATCGAAAGAGAGGAAAACACTTATCTCAAGTTTGAGAGAACTACTGTCACACCCCGATAAGCACAATAAATTCTAATAAACAGCGCTTTTCGTAACTAAAACCCACTCCAGCAAGTTTTCAATGGGAAACTGGAAATTGGCTGCCAATAAGCATCTTTTAGTCTTGAAAAGTTGATTTTTGCATGAACAAAACACAACTCTGAGCCAATCAGAAAGCGTTTGTCACATACTTGCGACGCAAACTAAGCTCAAACAGTCAGGATCTTGTCGCGAATATTCCCCTAAAGAGTACTTCGTTGTCTCAATAAGCTAACCGAAGCACGTTATGTAAAATCAAAAAAAAATTACCTTGCTATCATCTTTTGTTGAAACTGCATCTTCTTCCGATTCAGATGATGATTCGCTAACATCCGCAACATGGAAATTTGACCTTGGTGGTGGTACAGGGAACATCTCTCTTGGACTAGGTGCAACTTCCGTGGAAGATACTGGCCTACTATTCACAACACCGCTCAACCGAGTGAAACACTGAAGAGAAAACAGATAGTTGCAAAAAGAAATCAGCAGATCAATTTCACTCACCGCATCACATACTCTAACAGGCTTCTTATTCAGACTATCGATACGGTAAGTATGTGTAGAGCATGGACCACAAACCACCTTTCCACATGAACGACAATGATGCTGGAAATTTGATTGATTTAGAGAGAATAATGCACAGACTTTGACTTACTCTCCTCTGAACAACATTAAATTGGGTGCGTCCACAAGCCATACATCGCGCTGCTTCTCCGTCTGGAATCCACACCGCCGCATGCTCTTTAGCAGGCTTTTTGTTACCTAAAAACGCACAAAGTTAGATTAACAAGCACCGACGGACTGTTCGTTGGAATGAGCACAAAATGTGTCAACGTGTCAATGCGCCGTATGTTGGCAGAGTGAAGGCAATATAATTCCAAAAGGTGACGTAAAATCGTTACGAAAACTTAAACTCGAAGGACGTGAGTGAATAAGAGGAAGGTTGATAGGAAAGCACTCAGTTTAGTTGCGAACGAAAATTAAAATGTTCAGGAAGATCAAATTGAGCAGGCAGTCTCAAATAAATCACCTTTTTCCAACAGATCCGCAACACAACGTTCTATATGGGACATCCATTCTCTCTTCTCTGTGGGAGTTGCTGCATAAACGGCAAATGACTTTTCAGGTGTTTTGATTATCCAACCATTTTTCATAGCTGAAAGAAAAGTACACTAAAAGTGCTAGAAAAGTCCATGTGCATTTGTGACTCATGCTCCAAACTGAGCGAGAACTGGTCTCATATCGACAATTCTTGATGAAATGATATGGTTGGTAACTCTTAGATTGTTTCAAAAATGTACTGCTTCCCACGACGGACATAAGCGCGCAAGAGATTCAAGAAGACAAAACTGCGCACAAAAGCTTATCAACGACAAATATCGATAAGTGCGTCCCCTTCTACTCCAAGCGAACCAAAACATTCATAAAATCAACAGAAAATACAAGAATGACTTCAAAATGAGCAAACCTCCTTCATCTGGTAAATCTTCTAATTCCACATTTTCCAAAGCTATGATTCGTTGCTTATTATAACGCTTTTTAGATATAACAATATTTCCATAAACCAGTATATCGTTGAACAGAAAGAACTGTCGCTGTTTAGGCTTCTTCCTAAATATTCCGAGGATAACAGTGAAAGGAAAAAAATGGTTAAAGCATAGACATAGGAACAAAAACAGCTGCACGACTTTCGGTAACAGAAAAAGAGGTTACAACATGTTTCCAACTGTTGCGCAACGAACGTTTGTTCATGAAACTTGCAGTGATTGTTGGCGCGGCTGATATTGATTGCATCGATTTATAGCAGTCAGTGAAGTGTGAAATCATGTCCTAGACACTATCAACAATGACAAGTTTCTTTTTGCTTTTTAAAAGATAGTATAAAACTACCCACTACAGCAGAGAGCATAGTTAGCTCACGAAAGAATACAAATATAGTAACGTGAGTTAGATAAACTTCAAGCTAATAAAGCTTTACTAATCAACGAGCCTAAAGAGCTTCGGAGTGCAAAAAAATCGATCACTTCCGCTCCTGGACCTAATAAATTGTTTCATGAATGGTTTCAGTGACACAATCACTTGTAAACAACGCTTTCGTGTTCTCAACTGTGACAAATTGGCTGGAAAAATCAACAGCTGTGAGGCGTTTTGAGAACAGAGATTGCAAAGTGGTGTACGCACTTTCAAATAAACAGATAAAGTAAACAAGAAGTACAATAAGAAAAAGAAGGGCATGAAAAAAACTCGAACTGATAAATTCGACAGACCTACACATTTTTACCAACACTCCTTCTCCAACCAAAACTCTTCCAAATAAGTTGAGAGGTTTAGCCATTTTTCCAAAACATTGCTCCACATTTGCTACTCGCCTTGCGTTGACTTCGCTATTGACTAGAAAAGTATTCAAATAGAAAAGGTTCATCCGATAAAGAATAGCAACGTTTTATGCATTCACTGATAACTCACCAAGCCTGTCCACCATTGCTCATATGATGACAGATGAATCACACAAAATGAGGAAGAAACCGCAATTCAAGATACTGAAAACTTCTCTTGTTATTCGTTTGCTGGTAAAAGTAGTACGAGATGACCGAAGTCCGAGAAGTTCGAGTACCAAATTGCGAGGAACGACCGACATAACAACCGGAACAATGATAAGGGAAACGCACTTAGAGAAGTCCGACCATCGTCGTCGTATGAGTCACGCGCAGTAAAAATCGTTGCCGTCACAGGTTTTACCGGATCGGTAGCCAAGCTGTGGTGTGCTCACAGCCGAACACGCCCAATTTACGGCGAATTGATCCGTGTGCGCAATGTGTTTGCACTGTCACCATTGTTTATTCATCTGTGTGCTAGCAGCTTGCTTATAGGATTTTTGCGTAAACATTACATACAATTGCCGAGCCTTTATTCTCAATAGACGATAAAAGGCTAAAAAGCCAATCAGCAACTCATTTGGCGTTGATTTGGAGTTTCGCACTAGTGCTTTTTCTTTTGGAGTTGGGTGTCATTTTTTTCATTCGCTTATCTTTTCATTCGTTTTTATGAACCCCGAAGTATTTGTGCTCGATTTGGTCTGAATCAATTGCAGCTGTACTTTATTTATAAACCACAGTATCTCTTTATCAGACTTCACTCTACTTGAGCTTATATTATTCTTGTTATCTCATGATCTTTCCTGCGAAATAGGAAGTTCAAAAGTATGAAGGTTGGTTTCGAAAAATGCGACTTCCAGAATAGGTCATTCCAGCCTTGTATTATTGTATAATTTCTGTTATTTGTCACGTAAGAGTATCTACCGATAAAACACAACAACAAAAGAATAGATTAAAGTCTAACGAACAGTCTTGTATTTATTGAGCTGCAAAATTCTGAAGTGGCCAGTCGTAAGTCACACATTTGTGACTTTGTGGAGTAGCTTCCTCCTAAATGGAAAAAAAGAAGTGAAAATTCAACAAGGAAATTTTATTGCATTTTCTTTGTGAAAACACTGCCTAAACCCAATAAAATTCCACAATCAGGCTTGATTTGAGGATGTGATTCAAAATAATAAATTTGAAAATAGAAAGTACGTCTTGTAATTTTTTCACCGACTTTTGTTTTATTCGAAACGAAATCTAAGCCAAATGTTCGGGCGCTTATTTCTACGTAAAAATTTCATGTTCTTGAAAGCATCAATTAAACTTGGGACGCAACCCAAATTTGAAGTCATTAACTATATTCGCAATTATCGGAGGTTTGAAAATGTAAGTTGTTGACTCACTATGTTAATTTTTGCTACCTGAGTGTGTAGGAGCCTTGCACGCCGATAAAAGAGTCATTTACGCATGATTGTTTATAAGAACCACTGTGGGAAAAATGCTTTGTCGAAGCTAGTGCAAGGGGTTCAAAGGCTGACTTTATATGCTTTCATATAACGAGTTATCATAGTCGTATTAAAGTATGCAATGGGTTAGGCTACAATTTATGAATGCCTCTTTCTTCTGATTGATAGTAAGCTTCATTGACTGTTAGAGGATATGTTAGCATCTATTAAATTTTGTTGTAATAGGAATAAGATTAGATACGGAATTCGTGAGTGAATGCGTGATGATTTGGTGGACTTGGAATGCATAAACAGCGAGAACGTACGAACACTATTCTTGCAACCTATCTCAACTCATCGGCTTTCAATTATCTCGAATTATCAAAACTCAAACAACTGACCGAAACTTTCGCTGAACTTTCGGGAAAGTTTCGCTGGCTCACCTGCGGAAATTCCGCAACCGTGCTGCGGAAATTTCCGGATTTGGTGCTGCGGAAGTTCTGGATGTGGTTCTGCGGAAGTTCCGAAGAATCCTAACCACAACAGCAAAAAAGAGCACTTGAGCTGATTTGAACCCTGCTCTATTGATTGCGAGACTCTCTCACTATCCCCTGCACTACGTATGACATGTTCGACGTTGACTAGGCAACTCATAAGAGATACCACACTCAAAATGCGGAAGTTGTGGCATGTCGAAGTGCTGCGGAACCGCTGGCAATTTTCGGAAGTTCTGCAGCGTTTTGTAAAAAGTCTTTTGTGGACATTCCCCTTTTCAATGTTCCCGCTTTTGTAATAGTTTTGTAATAGTGAACAAAATCCTGCGGAACCCCGGCAATTTTGCTTGTCCTGCGGGAGGTGGTCAATTCAGCTGAAACATCCTTACATTAAGCGATTTGATTTTTTGTTTCAACTGTATTTCCATTCACGATCTTGTCTGGATTCCGTTTCGCTGCTTCTTTGCTTGCATCGGTCACGATTATCGTTCGTCGACCTATCTTTTAATGTTTTTCATTGTCATAGCAATCAACAACTGTTGCATCTAGTTTGTGATTCAAATTTGGAACCATTGTTCGAAGCTAGAAAAACAACCATGTGACAAAACCTTGCAATTTAAACGGTTGCCTCGCTAGACCATAAATTGAGAAGCAGACGCATTGTTTTGTGGGATCTATTAGGTTGTGTAACGAGTTCGTTTGCATTTTTTTGCTTATCTTTTCCCAACATTTTTTAGAACATTTGGCAAAACGTTTGTGTGTATGCTTTACCGAATCGCTGTCATTTTTAAAGTTGAAGAAAAAAATTGGTCACAAACCGAAAGCTTGAGGCGGCGATTTTGCCATTTTCGACAACTATGTTGCGCATCGTCTCAAATAGGTTTGAACGCGCAAAAACAGCTCGAAAAATTTGTGAAGCATATGGATAAATGCGTTAACGCCCGCAGACTGCTCGTAAGTGCTAAAATGCTTCAAAAGTCATATTGTAAGCTTGAGGATGGATTTGCTTAATGACGTCTCTTCGCCTGTTAGGCATCTAAAGGCACCCCGAAGAGAGGATGGTCGCAGACTTATCCAGAATTGGCAAATGAGATGGTCTGTCACCGCATGTTATCAAATATATGGGTGTCTTACTCCAAATTTGAAATTTGGGGGACACGCAACACAAGTATGCGAAACAACAAACGCCGTTGCGGCAATTTTGCTCCGCCGACTTTTGCAAAAAATGGCAAAAACGGTCGTTGAAAAGAAGTAAGCAAGCATAAAGAGGGCCACAAGCGGATGAGTGATTAGTCTATCGTTTTGTTTGTTGTTAAATTATTCGTGGAAGTTTTATTAATGAGTATCGGGAAAACTATTACGAGAGAAAAAATATGTCGGAAATGAAATTTTTGCCTTCTCGAATTTTTCAGTTTGTAGTCAAACCGTACATTCAGTTTCCTATAAATTGAAAATATTGATGGTAAAGGCTACTGCAAGACGAAGGCGCAATCGCAGTGTCAGTTGAGCGGGCGCGAACGTGACGCGCGCGTATCCTCACCGTTGTGCACCTCCTGCGCTCTGCGGCTAATCAAGCCGCGTTCGCGCTCAAAGATATTGCGCCTTCGTCATGCAGCAGCCTATAGCTCGGCAAAGCAGACTTAAAGCTTTCAGACGCATACAAACATTTTGCCAAATGCTTGCCAATTTTGCAAAATATTGAGAATAACTACGCAACTTAAGTAATTCATTCTTGACGATGTCTCGTGGTCGTCCTTCCAACCCCTTTTGCATAATCGTCAAGAAAGACAACGATGTGAGCTGTTTATTTTCTTTATTTGATCACTTATGGCGAATGTCATTATCTAAAGCGTCTTAAGTCGTTTTTGCTTTTAGTGCCTCTATAGAATAAACCATATTTTGATTTAAGTTCAGTGTTCACTAGCTGGTAGTCCCGGTCTCACCCCAGACTCTAAACTTGTTTAGCCAACAGAACGTGTGAATTAACGCGTCTAAACTTCTTCAAACATGTGCAAAAAGCGCTTTGAGACGAATAGTCGCATCCGCATCCTCCCGTTTTTGAGGTTGAAATGGAATCTACCGCCCCTGATACATAATTATGGAAAAATGGTCGATTGGAGCAAGGAAAATTCCCATTTTTCTAGATTTGAGTACACAAATCAATAAATCTGTAGATGGGTCCAGTAAATAGCCGCGAAAAGTAGCCCTAAGGTACCCGCCATACTTGATCCTCTTAATCCACTTGATCCGCTTGATCCGCTCCATGCAAAACGCGCGCACAGGCGGTTTGTCATTTGTCGCGGCGTAGGTAAAAAGGATTTTTGCACGGTCAAGCAAATTTGCTGTACGCGATGTCAAATGACAAATTAGTGACGCGCGTTTTGCACGAAGCGGATCAAGAGGACCAAGTATGGCGGGTGCTTAAACCATCGCCGGGATCGAAAAAATACATACGAAATTTCAGCTCAATCGGTTCATGGCTAGCGTTTTCATAACGAACGAACAACCTAATGAACATCCTCACGACTTTGAGTTATATATATATATATATATATATATATATATATATATATATATATCAGTGGCGTACCCAGGATTTCGGCTCGGGGGGGGCGCGACAAAAAATTTTTTCTAAAGAAGGTGCGTGGCGTTAGCCACGCACTCCGAAAAAATTTTTGGGGGGCTTCTTAAAATTTTGGCGGGTTGCCAACCCCTAAAATCCGGAAAAAGGGGGCGTGGCGTCAGCCACGCCCCCGAAAAAATTTTTTTTGTAAGGCTAAAATGAATTTTTAAAAAATTTTAAAAATTATTTTAATTATTTACAAGTGCAGACAAGTCATTTGCACAATTTTATAACGCATATAAGTAACTTTCAAAAATTTCGCGACCCATTCTCGGGGGGGGCGCGCGCCCCCCCCGCCCCCCCCCCTCGGTACGCCACTGATATATATAGATTTCTCTTGTTTATGCAGTTTAAGCTTCATGTAAATATAGTAAAACCATCATGTAAATGTAAATGTAATCTCTTTTTCTTAATGGTCTTTTCGCTATTTATGGCATCCATCATTTAATGTCATTGAAAGGAAGCTATGTGTCCCAAATTCTTCTCAAGCTCACGCTTTCTCCCCTGGCTCCTGAATACGTTATGCCCTTGATATTATATGAAAAATGGGCTTCTTACCACGTCTTTTGCTGCTTTTCAACTGATTCGCTTCGTTGTTATGGAGTGGCATTGTCTTGCTGAATGCACAGAGATAGGTCGTTACTTTAAAATGGTTCAACTTCGTCTGTTCAAGCAGTAAAGATGAAGAATCGAAACGTCTTTTTAATATATGGT